GGGGGGGGGGGGGAGGGGGTTTCGATGATTTTATTTTGGGGAAGGAAGAAGACGGGTCTATATTATACATATAGCGTCTTTTGTTAAGACGCTATATATATAGTGTCTTAACAAAAGATGCTATAGTTTCCCTATTTTTTAAATTTAAATATAGCGTCTTTTTAGAAGACGCTATACTTAACTGGCCAAACGGCCATTAAAGTATAGCGTCTTTTAAAAAGATGCTATATATATTTTGGTCACTAAGTTTTTTTTCACATATTTTTGTTCTTTGAATCCAAAAGAACCACATTTTGGTTCCGGACTCCGGTTTTGACTACTCAAGTACATGTTGCATCAGTGCACTTGTCAATTGGTACACATCCACTGCACGAGGCGTTGGCTTGAAAAAATTTATTTTGTGTCTCATACAATTGATACTAATTGTATGAGGTCTCTTTTTTATCTCAAAATATAAGATTTGGATACATAAATTTGTGTGACAAAAAAGAACCTCACACAACTAATATAAATTGTGCGAGACACACAATAAAACTTCTCATTGGAGCATAACTAACATATTATGCCAATAGACTTCAGAATCCATATGGTTAAATGGAAAAGGAAAAGAGCGTCGATATATTAATCCTTTGGGCTCAACAACAACATATACCTAGTGTAAGACATGATCGGATCTTCTATAAATGTAGACATGATCGAGTTTTATACAAATGGAGACATGTAAAATTGTCCAATTTTTATAACATAATAATCGATATATTGTTAAAAATTACTACCATATTAGCCTTGGGATGTGGAAAATTTGATTTTTCATAAAATTTATTAATCCTAAAATTAATTAGATAAAATCTGGTTGTGAGATCAAGTAGGAATTCAAACTTGGCCATATAAAAAAGTATCTAGCTGATCACTATTAGAGTGTGAAAAGAAAGATCCTTGAAGCTACGATAGAGAGAGTGAAAGAACATATCGACTTAGAATAATCAAATGAGTATCATCATCTTTAAAAGGAGATTTGAATTCCCTTACTTATTCTTTACCATAATTCGCCACACACCACCACTAAATATGAGATTCTTGCTAGAACATCGAGTCATCATGTCTTGGAATTTCTCACATGCCTCAGTAACTGTAGTTTATGGTGTAATCAGAGGCGGGGCCAAAATTTTAATAAAAAAAAAAAAAAAAAAAAAAAAAAAAAAAAAAAAAAAAAAAAAAAAAAAAAAAAAACATAACCGAGTATTGATAAAAAGAAAGGAACCCATTTCTTTCTCGTTGTTATTAGGTTGGAAATTTGGAATCATGTGCGTTTCCCCTTTTGTCCAATTATTATTATATTATTATAGTACTTAAAAAATAACTACACGTAATTGTTCATTAAAAATGAGATTATTAACCTAAAAATAAAGTATGTAAAGTCATATTTGGTCCACAAGTTAAAATACACCAATAATACGATCTTAATATATGAGTTAAATATATTACTTTGTTAATGATAAGTTTTCTTAAAAGTTATATATCCACATTGTCTAATTCTTGATATATGTAAATTACTATTATGTTACGTCACATTTTGATCTCATGGTTCGCGCAATTCATTTTCATTCGTCCTACTAAATCAATTGTTTAGTGTAAAGGAATATATCTGATAATGAAATTAATTTGAATGAAGAGGGAGAAAAACAAAAAGCTAAGTACGTGTGAAGCATAAAATCTCAAATTGATACTCGAAAAGTGTGGTAGTCAAGCTTCCACTCCCCAAAAATGACTAAGGAATCAATTATGCATGTTTCATTATTTGCAAAGAATTGAATATAACTCCTTGCAATATTCTTTAAAATTAGAAATGCTATATAGCGGAGAACCTACTTCTAATTTATAGAGATACAATCCAATAATTTCGGTTGGGTTTAAGCTTGGGTAGCTTAAAATAAAAGGTGACTGGAAAATGGAGAGAAAATAAAATATTTGAGTTTTCCTTCTTGGCAAAGTGACAATGTCCCATATTGGAGGAAGAAAAGACTTTTGATGGGTATATATACAATTGCTCTTCTTCTAGATCTTAAAGAGTTAAGAAGAAGCAAGCCTCGCTCCGTCGTCGCTCGGCTTCGATGCGATTGATTGATCTTTTAAGGGCAAAATTTATTTCAATTATTTAATTAATTAACGAAAATTCAATCCGGAATAATCCAGTACCCGTGACACGACCCGGTCCAGTCCGTTTTCTTTCACAAATTATTTTTAAATCTATTTTCCTGCAATATTTCAAACAGAAATATTCTCACATGTTCCAACAACCATAGCTGTTTCTGAAAGGTTGCAAACCTTTTCAAAAACAGTGCCAGAAAGGCTATAAATATGCTTTGAATCCCATTATCTTTCCTTACGAAATTTTCTGATCTTCTTCTTCTTCTGCACAAAATTTCTAATATTTTTTTACAACCTTCGAGTGGTTCGCTGTTTCATTGTCGTTTTTGGTACCAACACTCCGGTGAGTTAACTCGTTCTATCCTGGAGGATAATATTCCAGCACCTCGGGTACTTGAGGAGAATAGTTTCCTTAAAAACACACTATGCATTCAGCGGGCTCGATATATTCCGAAATTATTTTCAAATAGTATTTCGACATTCTGTTGCTACTAACTTTTTATTTCTGTTTGTATTTCAGAAAGTTTACTATTTTAATTATTTATTATAATAATACAGATATACTAATAATCTTAAGAAAATTATTTTTTAATTTGTAATCTGTATTCTGTTTGTGGAGATTAAAACTTGTGTGGTTTTCTACTCCTTCTGAATTTTTTCTATTCTGATTTGAAGATATATAAACTTTATCGGAGTATTGAAATTCAGAAACGATTAGAAGAACATAAAAACTTTATCGTTTTCTGTGAAACAATATATAAAAACTTCAGTTTTTATTTATTAAAGGTATTGTTTAGCGTTAATTACAGTATTGTTTATTATTCTATTCTTTGCCATTAATTGTACTCTTCTGTTGTTGATAGTGAGAAATGGCAATTGATTATGGAAATTCTTCTAAGACTGTTGCGGCAACGATGATAGCCTCGTCAAGCCGAACTGATGTTGCACCGGCCGAAAAAACTGGGAAATTTTCTGGAGCCAACATCAAAGGATGGCAGCAAAGAGTGTTCTTCTGGCTTACCACACTTGGTATGCAGAATTCACCAGTGAAGAACCACTAGTGCTTGCTACGGACATGCCAGACAACGAGAAATTTATGATTGTTGATGCGAGAAATTTATGATTGTTGAGGCG